CCCGCCTGGCATTGCCGTGGGGCGGCGGGTTCTGGCTCCGCACCCCAGCCGGGTCACGCGTCCACAGCGGTCAGAGGCTCATGCTGTGTGTCCGGCACTCTGCTCGGCCCTTCCGCTTGCCTTAGCTCAAGGGATTCCCCAGCCGAGGCACGGGACCGTTCCCATGTTGGCCCCATTTTACTGAATGGGAAACAGGCCCAGAGAGTAGAAATAACTGCTGAGGGGCTACACTAAGATCAGAACCCTCTGGCTTTACTTGCTGAACTGCGGCTCTGGGCAAGAGCTGCCCTTTTGTGACTGCGTTCCCTAATCTCTTGCGGAGGAGTCCCCCCGAGTGCTAACGCTGGAATTTCTTTAGAAGGATTAATTCATTGTGGGGTGGGTGCACATTAGGGATTTTGTCTTGAACTTGTGTTTGCAAGACTTCAATTGTATGTGTATTTGAAGTAGCTGAAAGGGGAAGGGGTCTGGTGTAGATCATAGAAGGGACTAAATCTCCACCCAAGCCACCTTGGTGGCGTGGTGCTACCTGGGAGCTTTAAGCCCAGCCCAGCAAGGGGTGGGGTGCAGGGCCGGGCTGGGGGTGCCGCAGATGGAGCATCCCTTAGGGAAAGGCAGGGGCCCAGAATCAATGCCTCCACCACCTCCGGATTCGGTACCATCAGAGCTAGCATCATTCCCCCCCCACTATCCGCCCTCGCCCCCCAGCCCACCCTAGGGCGAAATCTTCCACCTCCCCCTCTACAGCACATAGCCCTCTCTCCGCAGCCCACACTTGAGATCGTTCTGTATGTGTACTCCTTATCCTGCTACGTTCACTCACCACGTTTCTCTCTTGTGTCAAACTCTTCATAAGCATGAATTTCTGTGATTGAATAAATTCCATCAAATGCATATGCTGCTATTTACCTATTCACTCCCCTACTGTTAGTTTCCGTTTCCCACCAGCTCTGTATGAGGGCTCCAATTTCTCCACATCCTAGCCAATGCTTGTTATCGTCCGTCTTTTTAAAATTATAGCTATCCTAGTGGGTGTGGAGTGGTATTGCTTGGTTTTGATCTGCGTGTCTCTAATGGCTAATGATATTCGGCATCTTTTCATGTGCTTTTTGGCCATTTGTTTATCTTTGGAGAAATGTCTGTACACGTTCTTTACTCATTTTTAAATTATTTGTCTTTTTATTATTGGATTGTAAGAGTTCTTTGCATAGTCTAGACATAATTCCCTTATTGCACATATGGTTTGGAAAAGCTTTTTCCCCCCTTTTGTGGTTTATCTTTTCACTTTCTTAATGGTATCATTTGTAGCACCAAGGTTTTACATTTTGATGTAATCCAATTTAATCTATTTTTAGTTAGGTACAGGTTATTGTGTCAACATGTTTTAAAAAATTTTTTTTATTGTGGTAAAGTACACATAACAAAATTTATCATCTTAACTGTTTTTGAGTATACAGTTCAGTGGTATTAAATATATTTGTAATGTTGTGCAACCACCACCCATCTCTGTAACTCTTTTCATCTTGTAAAACTGAAACTCTGTACCCATTGAACATTAACTCCCAAGTCCCCCCACCCCAATCCCCTGGCAACCACCATTCTACTTTCTTTCTATGATTTTTGACTACTGTAAGTACCTTGTATAAGTGGAATCATATAGTATTTGTCTTTTTGTGGCTGTCTTATGTCATTTCACATAATTCCCTTCCTTTTTAAGTCTGGATAATATTTCATTGTATGTATATACCACATTATTTTGCTTATTTACTCCTCTAACACTTGGGTCGCTCTCACATTTTAGTATTATGAATAATGCTGCTATGAACATGGGTGTACAAATATCTGCTTGAGACCCTTTCGATTCTTTTGGGTATATACCCAAAATGAAATTGCTGGATCATATGGTAATTCTACTTTTAATTTTTTGAGGAACCACCAAAATGTTTTCCACAGCAGCTGGACCATTTTACATTTCCACGAACAGTGTGCAAGAGTTCCAATTTCTCCACATCTCTGCCAACACTTGTTATTTTCTGAGGTGGTTCAATGTAAGTTTTTATTTCACCTGTGTAAATACCTAGGAGTGGGATCGCTAGGTTGTATCATAAGTCTTATGTTCAAATTTATTTTAAACTGCTGAACTGTTTCCGAAGTGGATGTACCATTTTACATTCCCCCTAGCAATATTGAGAATTTTAGTTGCTCTGTAGCCTCATTAGCACTTGGTAGTGTTCTTTTTAAACTTTAGGCATTGTAGTAGGTATGTGATGGTATCTCATTGTGGTTTTAATGTCCATTTTCCCGATGACTAATGATATTGTACTTCTTTTCATGTGCTTATATGCCATCTGTATCTCTTCCTTGATATTCAATTTTTTTAACCATTTTAAAAATTGGATTGTTTTTCTTATTATCTGTTTGATTTCTTTATCTATTTGGATACAAATCCTTTATCAGATATCTGTTTTACTTTTTTTTTGGCTCATCTGTGGTTTTGTCTTTTCCTTTTCTTTACAATGACTTTTGAAGAGCAGAAATTTTTGTGCTGTTTGTGTCTAAAAAGTCTTTGTCTAAAGGCCAGGGTCACAGAGATTTTCTCCTGTGTTTTCTTCCAGAAGTTTAATATTTTTAAGTTTGCCTTTAGGTCTATGATCCATTTTGAGTTGATTTTTGTATATTGTGTGAGAGAAGGTTGAGCTTCATGTTTTTGTTTTTACATACAGATGTCCATTTTTTCTAGCACCATTTGTTGAAAAAAATTTCCTTTCTACATTTAATTACTTTGGCACATTTGTCTCAAATCAATTGACTACATATGTGTGGGTCTTTTCTGGAGTCTTTATTCTGTTCAATAAATTTAAAAGGATTTAAGTCACCCAAAGGATTTTATAGATTTTCTCAAAGAAGCAGCTTTTGGCTTCATCAATTTTCATTGTTTTTCTTTTTTTCCTTTTATTAATTTCTGTTCTGATTTACTATTTCTTTTCTTCTGTTTACTTTCTTCTTCTTTTTTATAGATTCTCAAGGTAGAAATAGAGGCCACTGATTTGAGATCTTTTGTCTTTTCTAATGAAAGCGTTTAGTGTGATAAATTTTCCCCAAGGTACTGCTTTATCAGCATCCCACAACTTTTGATTTGTTGTATTTTCATTTTCAATTAGTTTAAAAATGCTTTCTAATTTTTCTATTGATTTCTTCTTTGACTTATGGATTATGTAGAAGTGTTACTAATTTCCAAATATCTGGAAGTTATTCAGATATCTTTCCATTATTGATTTCTATTTCAATTACATTGTGGTCAGAGAACGTCTTTTGTATGATTTGAATCCGTTTAAATGTATTGATGACTCAGAGTATGGATTAGAAAGATA